TACCAACCTTTTGGTTATGTAGGAAAATATCCTTATTTCCTAATACTTAGGAATGAAATATTACAAAATCATTACTTTAAAATACTTCAGCAAAGCTGGGTATGGTAACGCACACCTATAATCTCAGTATTTTGGGAGGCTGAGGCAGAAGGATCACAATCCAAGCTCAGCCTAGGGAACTTAGTGATTTAGAACTTGTCTCAAATTAAAATATATATATATATATAATGACTGGGGATATACCTGTGTGTGAAGGCCCAGGGTTCAATCCCCAGCACCACAAAAATAAACAAACTTCAACAAAAGAGGTAATATGGCAAAAAGTAATGTTTGAATACTTTTATACTTTTTATACTTTTAGGTAAAAAAAACTTACAATAGTGGTTTCCAAAGCATGGACTTCATCACGTGAGAACTTGTAGAGATGTACATTGTAGGTCCTCCTCTGGACATACTGAACTGAGACTTGGTGGTAGAGGGGTTGCAGCAATGGTGTTTTAGTAAGCCCTCCTCTGGAGGCCTACATGCACAATAAGTAACGTTGAGAACCACTGTCTGAGGGCATAGTGTGGTGAGGATTAGATGGATGCCAGGGAAAGATCGATCTGGTGTGATATAACTGCTGACATAATATATAAAAAACTTCTAGCCAAAAATGAACACAAGCTCTTGAGACACAGGAATTAGAAGTGAAGATAAGACACCAAGTTCAAGAAGCCGCGTATAGGGACCCTATCAAAGGCATCATGGTTGCAGTAAGATAAAGGACACCAGTCCTGAGGCCAGAGAAGACATTGTCAAACCTGCTTCTCTCATGCTTTAGAGGCTCCTCTGCAATAGCAGCTCCTGCTGGTGCTTTTGTTCCTCTAAGACAGGACTTTTCCTGTCCTGCTCCTAACAAGTGCTGTTGTTAAGCACTGAAAAATGGTGTTATTGTTGAATGAGATCTGCTTGACCTCCACTACGGTTACTTATCTCCTTCCTAATTACCATACTCCACTGGGAAGTAGACTGGGATATTCTGAGACCCTGGGACACACATGGAGTGCCTGGATGTACCTTCTCTGCTGTACCATACTTTGTAGGCTGGACTGGACAAGGAACTTGTTATCAAGGCTGGCTATCTCAGTGCTCCTGAAATCATTACCCCATCCTTCTCATCCCCTTACAGCTAGCTAACTAACTCTTCCAATGCTCATCTCAAGCCTACCTAATAGTTCATAATTGGGCAAATGTTATTATGTGCTATATTAGAAAAGAGCTTCCTATATAAAACATCATAAGACTTAAAAAATTCTTCACCTTTTGTTATTCTTTAGAACAGAATAGGGCTGGGGATTTAGCTCAGTGGTTCCGCCGCCTGCCTTGCAAGCACAAGGACCAGAGTTCGATCCCCAGTACCAAAAAACAAACAAAAAAGAATTACCCCAAACTGTCTTTAAAAGATCTGCAAATGAAAATGAAGTGCCAGTAATCCCAGAACTCAGGAGCCTGAGGTAGGATCAAAAATTTGAGGCCGGAGCAGGGCGTGGTGGCGCATGCCTATAATCCCAGCACTGGGAGGTTGAGGCAGGAGGAACACTGTGAGTTCGAGACCAGCCTAGGCTACACAGTGAGTTCAGGTCAGTCTCAACTACACAGTGAGACCCTCTCTCAAAAAACAAACAAACAAACAAACAAAAAGTTTGAGGTCAGCTTAGGGTTCATAGTGAGGTAATATCTCAAAAGAACAAAACAAAACCAAAGGCAGAAAATGATTTTGTGGTTAAGTAATATAACAGATACTAGGTTAATTTAAACACATTTACTCAAGTTTATTCCCAGCATGACTTCCCAGAGCTTCTGATCTGTTAAATCATTATGTAGGAAAAAAAAATTTAAAAGAAAAAAACATTTTAAAGTACTCCCCCAAAAAGTCATTGTGAATTTCCACATGGGACAATTGTAGAAAGAATCATTTTGCAAACTGTTTCAGGAAATTATTCTTTGACATTTAAGAGGTAAATCACAGGAAACTATATGAATTAAGCATGCAATGGTAGAAGACTTTCAGGAAGCTGTGAGGATGAGAACATTGTCACCCTTCCCCCGTACGATATTGAACTCAGGGTCTTGTGCTTTGCAAGACAGGCAAGGCACCACTGAGCTAAATCCCCAGCCTGAAAACATTTCTGGAGTTTATAGAAACTGATGTGCATGCAATAGCTTAAAACAATGGTAAATCCTTTCTGATTTTTTTTTTTTAAGGCAACATCTGGCTATGTTGTCCAAGCTGTTTTCAAAATAACTTACCTCTGCAGAATTACACACCTGAAAGACAGAGCAACTGCTTTGCACAACTCCAGCATTAAATGTGACTGTTGCCTTCCGTTCCCCAGAGCTCTATGGTGACTAATGTAGGGGCTTACAATGTCTCTGTACTCCTAGTGTAGGAAGGAAAATCCATGGATTTTCAAATGCTGAACTTTGCTTTCTGCGTACTTACAAAAAAATATAGGTATAGCTTTGTACTTTTGGTCTTCAGCAAACCATATTATATAATCTTGTGAGAAATACACATTGCTTGGATAATGCGAATTTCATCATTAATTTTGCTTTTTTTTCCAAGAAAACTTGAGACAAGAGTCAAGTATGAAAAGCTCCAAGTGGTGCCATTTCTTGAGGCCAAGGAGCAGGCCACATGAACACTGGATTCTAAGTCATAACAATGGAGAAATGATTTTTCATAAATGCTGAATAATTTTGGCTTATCAGACAATAGTTTGATTGCATTGCTAGGTCTCCTGATTTAAGGAGCAAAGTGACAATAAGAAAAATGGGCAAGAAAGCCCTCTGCTGGAAGATGAAGATGAGGATATGTATGAAATTAAATGCAAGTAATCCACTGAATGTGCCATCAGGTTCTTACCAGCAGTGGATGGGTTTTGGGCCCAGTGAGCAGGGAGGGGCAGCCACCCAGGATGACTTAAAAGAGTTCTGCAGACATTTTCTACAGAAAAGGAACCCAATGCTGGTCAGTTTTAACATAAACTGGTTCTTGTGCATTAATTCTATTTTTGCAAATTTAACTGACTCTTTGCCAGACAGTATGCTGTAGGCACTGGAAAGAGTGAACAAGACTCATGGAGCTTTTCTCCTGGAGAGGAGTCTAACTAGCAACTACTGAAGGCACGGTGAGTGACAGAAACAATACACAGAAATGTCGATGCTAAAATAGGTCATTAACAGTGCTTTTAGATTGAATGGTCAAGGAAGTTCTTTTAGGATGAAACTTGGAAAGATATGTTAAGATACTTCTAGAACTAGGAAGCAGGGATGGAGAACATCCCAGGGAAAGGGAATACAAGTGCAAAGACCCTAAAAGAGCATGGCATGATATATGTTTTCTTTTGTTTTTGGTACCAGTGATTGAACTTAGGACCTTGTGCTTCTGAGATAGGTGGTAGACCACTAAGCTAAATCCCTGGCCCACATGACAGATTATATGGACTGGAAGAAGTCCCATGTGGTTGAAAGCATAAATATTAATGAAGAAATTTACAAAGGATAACCTTACAAGGGTAGGATAGTGTAAGATACAGTGAGGATTTTATTTGGAAGTAATGGATTTCAGATTTTTGACCTCCTTAATTACAAGAGAATAAATGTATACTGTTTGTGGTCTGTTATAGAAGCCAGGAGTTATGTTAGTGAAGGGAAACATTGTCCCTGGCCAAATGTACCTGCATTCCTACCCACCTGGGAGACACAGAATTGCAGTTATTACCAATTCCAGCCTGGTTTCAGCACTGTGTCCATAGAGAAGCCCACTCTTCTTGGCCCATCAGACAGTCAGATTAAGGAGTATCAATACTTGCTAACCTGACTCCCAAGAAAGATATCAAGCAGAACACCAATCTTATAGTGTATTTCTGGCAATACAGATGCTGCATTTGTCAGCTTACTCAGATCAGCAGCTAAATGCTTGGGAATTGTAAAGCCAGAATGAGGGCATCTGACTCATTTTAAAGATTAATGTTAACAAAATCTAAAAGTGACAAAAACCTAGTGCTTAAACAGACTAAGTGATGTCACCATTCCTACAGTACAAAGATAAACCACCATGGTCATCTGTTAGAACTGATGCAGAAGAAATCTGGAATTCCAACTCAGAATTTTATTCTGATGGTGATTCACATTGTCATTAAGGGCAACATACTTTTCTCGAATTTTCTTGATTCAAAAATTCAGGACTATGCAAGTAATCAGTAAGACAGAAGGACACCATCCCCTCTAACTACACACAAAACTCACCACACATTTAGCCAAAAGACCTCTAGTTATGGAACTATGGAGTTTGGGCCATCACTTCCATGGCTAAGAGCACATTTGCTAGACTTCCCTTCTTGGTTTGATATTGCTTTGGTGTAAGTCTGGAGGTTTGAAAATTAATGTGAAACAGAAACTAGTCTAACCTAAGAAAGACCAGCAAAGGGATAGTTTTCTGTGTTCAACCTTGTTTGAAAGTGTTGGTTGTTTTATGTCTTTCATTTTCCTAGACCCAAAATACAATGACTATTAGAGATCTCTGGAAAATAGAAATGCAGAAAGTTAAATTTCTTTTGCTTTAGATTCATTTATGGAACTTTTTCAAAAGAGTTTAACTTCAAGAGAGTCAAACTACTTTGAATAGTTTACTAGTAGATGCCCTAGCAGTTCACTCAGCAGATACTGTCCCTTGCTCTTACTAATTGGTTAACTGTGAGGAGAGGGGGGCATCCATTAAATGTAACACACACACATATACACACACAGTTCACAATTACTTTTGTGAAATTATTTCTGTATTTCAATTTTACTTTTACAAAAAAACAAAGAGAACAGGGAGTTGGGAGGAAGGAGTAATGCTTGGTCACCTCTGGGGGTAGAGAGGATACACAACAAGAATGGGTCAGATGGGGTGAAGGGAGGGCAGGGATAAGGGGGAAAAAATGAGAACCAAGACCTATACAAGATCCCAATAATGAATATAACTGTACTGTATACCTAAAATGTAACAATAAACTCAACTTTAAAAAAAAAAGAATGGGTCAGACTGACCTGTCTGGCCTTTACTGGTAATAGCAATGAGCAAGGAGTCCACGCATGAGCTCTAAGGGCTTAAGTTGGTTGGGTCAGTGTGTGCAGGCCATGCCAAAGGAAACAGCCAGAAAGACCTCACAGTGGCGGCCATGAAGAAAAGGATGAGGTTAGTACACTGTGGCCTTGACTCGGCCCTGTCTCATTGATTGTCTGGGTCGCCCTCTCTGGGGGCTATAGGGGTGTTGTGGTCTCCAGGGCATATAGGGGCCCTCAACAAGATACTTGGGGAAACCTTTGTAAACCACAGGGTCCCGCTGCTGGTAATAGGGTGAGGGGAAGATGGCCATAGGTGGCTGGGGGTCAAACATAAAGTCCATTTGGGAGGCAAGTCCTGGCTGGGTAGATGAGGGGATGTCTGAATGGAAAGAGAACTGATCTGATTGGAAAAGATGGTCTGAGGAAAAACAGTGATCTTGGGGATGGAGTGGGAACTCAGGTGTTCCTTGGTAAGAGGGAATGAGAGGAGGTGGGTGGGGCATGAGTGGGGACAAGCCTAAGGGTGGGGACCAGAGTAGGGGCTGGGGCCAAGGTGGTGACAGAGCTAAGGCCCTTGGATCTTGGTAGGGAGGGTGCCGCCGCTTGATACCACGGCTGGGCTGTTCCCAGGCAAGGCTACCTTGGTTCAGCATGTTTAGTGGGGCCTTCAGGGGCAGCTCCACACCCCAGGCATCGGCCACGTGGGCCAGGAGTAGGTAGGATAGCTGGCGGTGGGTGTACTGATTCCAGTGAACCCCATCTGTCTGCAGGCCCCCCATGGCGCGACGGAAGTGGAAATGCAAATCTAGCACATCGAAGCCATGGTTGGCAGCTTTGGTAGAGCTGTAAAAGTTGGCTTCAATGACGAAGTATTTTAGGGGGACCTTCCAGGACCAGCAGTTGTGAGGGAGGAAGCTCGCAGTGATTGTGTTGCCCACAGGCATGGCTGTGTTCCACACCAAGAGGCAAGATTCGGGCAGCACTTGGCCCAGACGCTCAAAGAGGGTCTCCAGATTGTGCAAGTACTTCTTCCAAGAGTACTGGCCATACCTGGAGATGTCCCAGAGGCAGGAGTTCATGATGACCACGTCGGGGGCATGCTCACCAGCCTGCAGCTCCTTCAGTATGGCCTCCAGGTACCTGGAGTAGACACGGGTGAGGAAGTAGAAGCGCACCAGGTGGTGGTCTGAGCAAAACTGGCGCACCTCACGGTAATGGGTGCCATTGTGCATGGTGCCCTTCTGGCCTCCGTTCACCAGTATGTCCTGCTCGAAGCTCATCTCCCCCTTGGTCCTGAGCTGCCCAGGTGTAAGCAGGCAGTCTTTCTGCAGTAAGAGCACCAGGTCCTTGTACACAGACCTCTGCACAGAGTCCCCCAGGACGACCACAAACTTGTTGTGGAGCAGCTGCTGTACTTCGGAGGCCAGTAGGTGGGTCATGATGGCCCGGCCTGGCTCAGCTTCTTCCAGTGCACCAGGTGGGTCTTCAGATCGCTAGGACAGAAGGAGAGAGTGCTGGGCGGGACTCATCCCAAAGCAGGCCACAGTGCAAACAGATGGAGGCGTGGCCTCTGCCCTGGGGCACCTGCATGGAAGGAAGGCTCCCCTGGCCCGGATATGAAGTGGGAAGAGACAGCTGAAGTGAGCCAGAAGCCTTCCTTGGTCAGGCTACATAGTGTAAGCCTGGGAATTACTGGCAGCTGCTCTGGGAGACTTGGGCTTCACCCTGCAGGGAGGGTGAGGAAGTAGAAGAACACCAATCCCACCTACCCTACCCAGGATAAAAAGGGCTGAAGGTACCGTCAGAATGCTCTGGCCAAACACCTGGTGAGCCTCCTGCCTTAGCCTCCCCCAGTTCCAGGTTTAAAATATTTCTGGGCAAAAAGATTTCTTAGCTGGGTATAGTGGCACATACCTGTAATCTCAGCACTTGAAAAAAGTTGGAAAATACAAGCAATACAAAATTAGAACTAATCTGGAGGCAGTTCTGCTATATTATTCTTTGCTTTCCACCTGAAAAGAATCAGAATATCACTCCCCCAAATACTCATGCTAATGTAAGAATTACTTAGAACTGAAACTGAATGAAAATCAAGAGATGCAGGAAGACTTCTCTGATCTTCCTTTGGCTGCCTAAAATCTGAGTATGGCACCCCTCCCCACAACAAAGGGAAAGGAGGGAGGAGCTACTTGTCACAACATCAGAAAGTTAAAACCAGGGAGTTGGCACCAAGATGACATGGGGTAACCAGAACTTACTATGACAGGTCTTCTCTCCCATTAACTCCCTCTTCGTTTCTGTCACTTCCCACAATGTATTATTTTTTTAAACTCAAACCTTCTTTTATTAAAAAGGTATGTAAACCCCCAAACTAACCACTCTGATGTGTTTCACTCTTTTCTGTGCATTCCTTGCCTGTAAGTACAAACTAAAATTGTACTTTGTCTCTTGTAAATAATTTGTTTCTGGGCCAGGGATTTAGCTCAGTGGTTTGGTGGCCTGCCTCGCAAGCGCAAGGACCCAAGTTCAATCCCCGGTACAAAAAAAATAATAATGATTTGTTTCTTGTTTAATTGCATAGGCGCAGGGACTGAACTAGAGAAAAAGTTTTTCCATTCCAAAACATTGGATGAAATGTTAAAAGCTGTGAAACTATCTTCAAATCTTCAGATTAGTTAAAAAAAAAAAAACTTCAGTTTTATTATATGTGTTGCCAAACCAAGCACAAAAAACACTTCAGATTAAACATATTTCCAATTTCTATTTATGACATCTCCAGGGATGACTAGAAGTTTGTAAAAGAAATACACTTTGCTGCTGCTAATAAATGTTAACTGGGGAGGAACATGGGGCCCACTCATAAAAAGCCAAAAATCCATTGTGGCTTCATAGTTGTCAGACTGTATGCACTAGTAAATATTTGGGGGGGTACTGGGTATCGAACTCGGGACCTTACGCTTGTGAGGCAGGCAGCGGCACCACTGAGCTAAATCCCTGGCATTAATAAACATTTTAATAAGTGTGGCTAGATAGCTATCATTAAATTATAAATTCCATTTTATTATTATTATTGTTGTTGTTGTTGTTGTTGTTGTTGTTGTTGTTTGCCAGCACTGGAGATTGAATTGAAGGAATGCTGAGTTACAGCCTCAACCCTTTCTATTTTCTTTTGAGACAGGGTTTCATTAAAGAAGCTGAGACTGGCCTAAAACTTTCAATCCTCCTGCATACCACTGTGTACAGTTACAAATTACATTTTTAAAAGCTATACTGTTTGCAGATTTAACCAAGTATTGTGGCTCCCATCTGTAATCCTACCTGCCAGAGAGGCTGAGGCAGAAGGATTGTTTGAGGCCAACCTGGGCAACATTAGCAAGACCCTACCGCAAAAAGGGATATGGGTAATATGAAAATGGTAAAGAATATCAAGAATTTCTGTAAGAGAGTTAAAAGTATTTACTTATTTTACTCCATCTTCATTAATCTTATCATCAAAAAGAGGTTTAAAAATATAATTTAGCTCACTATAGTACAAAAGTAAACTCCAGATCCCTTTCAGATTCAAGCATGTTTGTGTGTTTAGCCTGATTTATGCATCCAATTTACACTTACTAAATGCCTAATACACGTTCCACTTAGGATATATAAAAGTGAATTACAAAATCATGGCTTTTCCCCTGAGATTAGAAATACTAACAACTGTGACACAAAAAGGTGATACAGTGAGTTGCCTCACACTGTGCAAGCTCAGGGGACTTGGGGAACACTCTTCCCTCCCCACTCCAGACTCAAGTCTCTAGAAGTACACAGTGAAAGGAAGAACCTTCTCCACAGGTACAGGATCACAAGCCAGCCCAGCTCTTTCTCTGTGCCCTCCCTGGGTCAGAACTCTGGTCATACTCTGTGACCCATCCTCTAGGATATACAAAGAATATTGCTTCTAGAGCCACACTACCTAGGTTTGAACACCAACTCTTCTACTTACTAGCTCTTTAATGTTAGGCAAATTATTTAGCCTTTCTATACCTCACTATGAATATCTGTTTCACAGACTTGGCATAAGTGTTTAGAACAATGCCTGACAAGTAGTAAGCTCTGATACAGTTATTATCACTGAGCCCTCTGCAGAACATCTAGTTAATCTTCAAGAAGGATACCCACCTGGGCGTGGTGGTGCATACCTGTAATCCTAGTACTCTGGGAAGGTGAAGCAGGTGGACTGAAGTTTAAATCCAGCCTGGGGAATTTAGCAAGATCTTTTTATTTATAGACAGCTAAATTAGGGAGAAGTATTGTAGGTAGTCAGATAGGGGTAGGCCCCCCAGAGAGTAATGTGAAAACATATTACAACTGTGGCCGGAGACATCTGTTGGAGGCCAGGCCTCAAAATGAGATGGAATAACCAGACCTACATGCCTTCCCCAAGGGATAAGTGGTATAACATCTGGCCCAATGAAGTCTAGATAGACATAAATCACCTCAAGTGGGTGACCAAGACACCCGGACCCATCCCTTTCTAAAAAGGTCTTTGTTCTTTCTATGCACACTTGCTACATGACCTGCTTTCCCTCAGATCAATATTACCTAAGTGGCTATACTTATAATCTTATTGGTTGAACATCACTTTAACCCTCATTGTACCCACCTCAGGATTTTACTCTACAAAACTTCCTCTATGAAGTGGGGTTTGTTTGTGGCAACCCACTTGGGTCACTCCTATCCCTCAGAGATGTATCTTTCCCCTTCAATAAATATTTCCTGCTCTTAACTGTTGTTCCTCACAATTCATTCTTTGATTTTTAGGAACACAAACTCAGCGTATCTGATATCTAAGCGGGTTCGGAGTTACACTTATTTTTCCCTAGATCATTTGAAGGTCCTGTATCATTTCCTCAAAATAAAAAATAAAAAATAAAACAAGAATTGGGGGTTGAATCTTGAGTGTGGAGTGGGGATGGGGAAGGGACACAATATTTGTGCTGTTTGTCCTGCAAGGTTATCCAGAGTGAATGTGATTATGCAAGTAAAGATTTTGTACAAGTATTAGATGCCACATTCTTTACAATGACCTATTTCTTTCTTTCTTTCTTTTCCTTTTTTTTTTTTTTTTTTTTTTTGGTACTGGAGATCGAACTCTGGACCTTCTGCTTGAGAGGCAGGCGCAGCAACAATGAGCTAAATCCCCAGCCCTACCCCTACAGCGACCTATTTCTGAGATAATTTTTACTATTTTCACTTTCAGGAAAGGATCTACTCCCAAGATTTACTCCCAAGTCTAGCTCTAATAGAAAGATGCTTAGTATGAGTAAGGATTTTTAGTCTGCCTGCCCAGGATGAGGGGCTACAAGTACTTGTGGGGTGGGAGGTGGAGAGAATACATACATTTTGTACCTCCATCTCAAGCAACTGACATGAAAAATACAAAGGCCTAGACACTAGAATAAGGTAAAGAAACTACTGCAGATCTTGGCTTCAGTGTTTGAGGATGTCTGGCTCTCCATATGCTGACCAGGGAAACACACCCAGATGCTGCTCAAGGGCTCAGAATCAAAAGCATGTGAAAGCATCCACATAAGAATTTCTTACTGTTCTTCTCCTGTACAACATGCAGGTATGACTGGGAGAGGAAGGGTGGGAATGACAGAGAAGGACTATTCCAGAGAGAAGCTGAAGCTAAAAGGAAATTCATGAAATTCTTGGTAAAGAGCACCAGCAACTCCAACAGGACCAACAAAATGGGACACCATCAGGAAGTCACCAGTCACAGAGCCAAATGAGTTTTAGGGGAGTCAAGAGGAATAATTAATTTAGAGGGGTTAAATCTCTAATTAAAAAAAAGCCAGTATCTTCAATTTTCAGCCTCTTTTTTTTTTTTATTAAAAAAGGAAGCTAAAAAGGCATTTGAAAACTGCCAGATTAGTATTTTTTGTTTTTTGGATTTTTTTTTTGCCCAACCTTCTTTCTTTGCTTCAGATTTGCTAAACATATTTATTAGTTTTATTTTTATCTTTTATTTTTGAGACAGGGTCTCGCCATGCAATTCAGGCTGGCCTTAAACTCATGTAGCCAAGGCTGGTCTCGAACTTGCAGCAGTCCTCCTGCTTTAGCCTCCCGGTGCTGGGATTACAAGTGTGTGGTATGCACACTTAGTTTTAGAAGTGATTTTAAGATTCATTTATTTAATGAGTAAGGATCACTGACTGAGAACCAGACACTGTGCTAGCAGTTTGAAAGAAAGGAACACAAAAACAGCTATCAAAGGGGAAGCTAGCTCGTAGCACTGATGTATATAAATGAAGGAGATCTTTAGAAGAGGCAAGAGGGAGGAGGCAGGTTTTTGTAGACAATCATTACACTCTGACTGGAATTTTACAATAAAACAAGATTTAGCTGGGCATGGTGATGCATGCCTGAAACCCCAGCACTTGGTCAGGAGGATTGCTATGGAGTTCAAAGACAGCCCAAAACTTATAGTGAGAACATACAAACCCAA